TCTCTCCCATCGACGCGGGCACCCCAATCTTTTTTGATGCTTCCAGTTCCGTGGGCTGCCGGCATGCCATCTTGGTGGGGTTAAATTGGCATATAGTCGCTCTGATTGGCTGGTGGGGCGTGGCTTAGGCATAGCGACAGTATTGTCAATTTAGCATCTTTGTCTTTGATTTAGTGTAGATTTTGATGGATTCATTTATCCATTTATTCCAGAAATGATCATTAAGCAGTAACTTACGAGCAATTACAACCTAGGGCTCCAGAACCAGGCAGACCTGAATTTGGATCTCAGCTCCTCCGAAGAGCAGCTGAGCATTGTTCCTAATTGGTACAATGGGAGTAAGACACTCTATAGCAGTGGTTCTGGCCCTTTAAATACAGTTCCTCATGTTGTGACCCAACCATAAAATTATTTTCGTTGCTACTTCATAACTGTAATGTTGCTACTGTTATGAATCCTAATGTAAATATCTGATATGCAGGATGGTCTTAGGCGACCCCTGTGAAAGGGTCGTTCGACCGCCAAAGGGGTCGCGACCCACAGGTTGAGAACCGCTGCTCTATGGGGCTGCTGAAAGCCAAGAAGCTGACGCAGAGCGCAAAGCACAGCCTGCCTGGTGGAGGGGCCCTAACGAGGGGCAGCCATGCTGGGTGCTAGTGGCATGATGGTGGGTGGATGGGTAGAATAACAGCTCCCCCAAGTGTCCACATCCTAATCCCTGGAGCCTGTCCATATGTTACCTTATATGGCATAAGGGTCTTGGCAGATGCAATTAAGGATCTTGACAGGGGAGATTATTCTGGCAGAAGAGGAGGTCTGATGTTGCTAGCTTTGAAGATGGAGCAAAGATGCCATGAGCCAGGGAATGTGGTGGCCTCTAAAATGGGGAAGGCAAGGAAATGGAATCTCCCCTAGACACTCCAGAAAGGAATGCAGCCCTGCTGACACCTTGATTTTAGCCCAGTGAGCTCCATTCTGGACTTCTAACGACAGAATAACAAATCTGTACTGTTTTAAGCCACTAAGTTCCTGGTACTTTGGTATAGTAGCCATAGCAGAAAATACCTATGGTGAGCAAAGGTCTGGTTCTGGCCCTCACAGAGCATATGGTTCTAACGAGGAAGACAGGTGTCTAAACAGCCCATTAAAACCCAGTGGGATCAGAACTCTGCTGGTGGGCATGCAGGTGGCTAGGGGCCCACGGGAGGCCTCTAACCCAGCAGGGACGGTCAGGGAAGACATTGACCCTGAGACAGGAAGATGGAGGAGTTAGACATAATAAAGAGAGATGGAAGAGTTTTCCTAGCAGGGTAAAAAGCCCGTGCAAAGGCCCAGGGTGACAGCACGCAGGGCTAGATCCTTCACAAACAGCCAGGCACCGTGCTGGGAATGGTCCCTGCTCTTGTGGAGTTCACAGGAGGTGGAACAGACAGACAACAAAACACCCACAAATAAATGTCTAATATAATCTCAGGTGGACAGAAGTGCTTCGTGGAGAAATAACTCAGCTTAAGGGGACAAGATAGTGCGGTGGCCAGGCTCTGACCTTGAAAAAGTTGCTTACGTCCTCCTGTGCCTCAGTTTCCTCATCTGTAAGAGGAGCAACAGAAGTATCTACCGCATTCTGTTGGCATGAAGCAGCTCAGGCACTTAGAACTGCTCCTGGGCCCCAGCGAAGTGCTATTTGTTGGCGATCGTTACTTTAATCCTTTCATCAACCCCTCCTACTTGCTCAAGGGAGGAGACCGAGGCTCAGGGAGTCCCAGCCAGTTGCTCAAGGTCACACAGCAAATGCAGTGCTCGGAAGGAGCCGGGAACCAGCCCCCTCTAGCGTCCAGTGCGACCTGCCTCCTCCGGCGCCCTCCCTCCCTCCCGCCGGTGTCCCCGGGGCCTCACCCGGATCGTGTCCACCAGGCTCTGTACCTTGGCCGGGTCCAGCACAGACGGCAGCGGCCGGATGAGCACACTCATTGGCACGTTGTGCACAGCGGCGATGCAACCCGAGTGGATACTGCCCCCCTGCGCGCCGCCGCCGGGCCCGGGTCCTTCGCGCGCCCCCCGGTCCGCCCCGGCCCTACCCAGCGCTCCTCCCGCGCGCAGCCCCATCGCACCGCCGCCAGCCTGGCCGCCTCCCCCATCCAGACCTTTAACTCGGCCGGGCCGTACCATTCCCGCGGGCGGGAGGGGGACCCGGGCCAGGGTGCCTTTCTCCCCCGGCCCCTCGGTGGTCCGGTCCCGTCCCGGCGTCCCGAAACCCGACTCCGGCTCGGCTCGCGGGGCGCCGCGGAACCCGCGGGGGGTCTGGCTCTCCGCTGGGGGCGCCTCGCCGGCTCCCCTCGGCGCTTTGGAGTCCCGGGAGTGGAAGCGCCCAGACTGGCTGACTCAGGGTGAGTCTGCAGGTCGTGGGGCGGGAGAGCGCGGGTGACTCACAGCCCGCGGTGACTCAGGCCTGCGGGGTCCGGGGCGGGGACGAGGGGGAGTGGTGGCCGGACCTGTGGGACAAGGATGAGTCTGCAAAACTCACAGTACTTGTCCGTCTGGCGGTCGGAACCCTATAACCCTCGAGTGATAATAATACAGACAACAGTAAAACGACCAATCTGGTGCTGTGTCAGACACTGTTCTAAGCACTTGGCATGTATAACAACTTACTTAAACCTCAAAACAATCCTGCAAGGTAGGTCTGATTATTATTCCCTTTTTACAGATGAGAAAACTGAGGCACAGTGACTTGTCTAGGAAGTGGCTGAAGTAGGGTTCAAATGCAGACAGGCTGGCTCTAGGGGGCGCTCTCTACCCCACCACTGGCTGCCTCCGTTCAGCAAAACGGTCACCAGGAGCCTTCTGGAATCGTGCTGACAGGGTGTGCGCACTGCCCCGAAGTTCCACACTGTCTCATCTCACCCTGACCCCACCACTAGTGGTTTTTGAACAGCTTGTCCAAGGTACAGCAGGTGAAAATGAAAGTCAGGTCACCTGAGCCTAGAACCCTGGGCCGCTTTGCCACAAACACCTGCTTACAGATGTGGACACGGAGCCTTCAGAGGACGATGATAATGACTTAGGTCCAGACATGCTGACTGCCAGCCCCGCTCTCCTGTTTAAAGCCCTCTGTCCCCTCGTGCCCATGTTCAGCACCGAATGTCCTCTGGGGCCAGAGAGAGGTAGGCAGAGGCCCCTGGGTTAAATTCCAGGTATTTATCAGCATCTTCGTCAACATTAGGGCTTGGGCACAGATTGGCCTGGGTTCAGGTCGCATCTGGCCAATCCCTAGCTATGTGGTCACCGGCCCGTTGCTTAACCTCTCTGACCCTCAGCCTTCTCTTCTGTAAAGTAGTTGTGGGGAGGTTGTGGGGACACTCAGAGATAATGGCTGATGGAGGGCAAGGTGGGGGGTAAATCAGTACATAGTGGTCGGCCAAGTACATAGTGGTAACCAAGGAAGGTGACTGTTTTATCATGAGCATCCCCAATGCTTAAGAAGAGGCTAAGTTTGAGAGTATCAGGAAAGGCGCCCTGGACAAGGGGCATTCAGGCTGGTAATTGGCTTGGTCCTAGAGAGGGAGAGGGAAGAAGTGGGTGATGGTTTAGAGTGTAGGCTCTGGAATCACTTGAATGGCATGGATTTGAATCCTGGCTCTATCACCACCTACTAGCTGTGGTGCCTGGGGGCGGGGGTGGTACTCCACTTCTCTGTGCCTCAGCTTCTTCCCTGGATTGCCGGGGAGCGTACATGAGGATAACACAGTAAGTGTTTAGAAAGGTACCTGGCACTAGAAATTGCTGGATGAAAGGTAGATGTGAAGGACATTCCAGCCACAGGATCAGCTTGAGCGAAAGCAGGGAGGCGGGACAGTTCCAGATCTGGTTGAAGGCAGGCTTGTCTGGTTTGGTGTCTTCACCCTGATTGACACCTGCATAGAGAATGCACAGTCCCCCTCTCAGATGGAGAAAAGTAGGAATGGTACTCAGCTGGAGAAAAGTAGGAATGGTATCCACTCGGGGGGTGGGGGGCCGGGGCTGCTGCTACATGGGCCAGTAGCTGACACTTTCCGAACTCTCTGCAAAGTGGGGTAATGCTGCCAATCACTCAAAGTTGTTATGAGTGTGAATTGAGAAGATGCACATAGTAAGTGCTCAGTGAATTGTGTAACACCCGTTTTACTGTTGAAGATTATTCATCTTGGGTTCTTAGTCTCTTGCAAACCATAGAACGCTGAGGCCATCAAAATATAACCCCTGTGGCCCTGACCGGTTTGGCTCAGTAGATAGAGTGTCGGCCTGCAGACTGAAGGGTCCCAGGTTCGATTCCAGTCAAGGGCATGTACCTTGGTTGCGGGCACATCCCCAGTGGGGGGTGTGCAGGAGGCAGCTGATGGATGTTTCTCTCTCATCAATGTTTCTAGCTCTCTATCCCTCTCCCTTCCTCTCTGTAAAAAATCAATAAAATATATTTTAAAAAATATATAACCCCTGTGAGCACCTAAATCATACTTTGTCTCTGGAAGTACAACTGACACCCACACCTCAGCCCCACAATTATTGAGCCATCAGCTGGAAGGTGATTTGATAGCTAGGCCTGGAATCATCTGGAAGGGACTTCACTTACACACCTGGCAGATGGTACTGCCTGTCAGCCAGAATACCTCCATGCGGCCTGGACTTCCTCATAGCATGGCCCTAGCTTCTAAGAGCTACTGCTTCAAGAGAACCTGGCAGAAGCTTCATGGACTTTCTAGTCTAGTCTTGGAAGTCATATAGAATCATTTTTGCAGCATTCTATTTGCAGGAGATGAGCCAGGCTCAAGGGAAGGGACAAAGACTCCCTGTCTTTTCTTTTCTTTTCTTTTCTTTTCTTTTCTTTTCTTTTCTTTTCTTTTCTTTTCTTTTCTTTTCTTTTCTTTTCTTCTTTTCTTTTCTTTTCTTTTCTTTTCTTTTCTTTCCCTTCCCTTCCCTTCCCTTCCCTTCCCTTCCCTTCCCTTCCCTTCCCTTCCCTTCCCTTCCCTTCCCTTTCTTTCTTTCTTTCTTTCTTTCTTTCTTTCTTTCTTTCTTTCTTTCTTTCTTTCTTTCTTTCTTCTTTCTTTTTCTTTTTTCAAACCAAGTGTTGTTGTTGTTGTTTTTTAAAATATATTTTTATTGATTTCAGAGAGGAAAGGAGAGGGAGAGAGAGATAGAAACATCAATGATGAGAGAGAATCATTGATTGGCTGCCTCTTGCACGCCCCCCAATGGGGATTGAGCCTGAAACCCGGGCATGTGCCCTTGACTGGAATCGAACCCGGGAGCCCTCTGTCCACAGGTTGACGCTCTATCCACTGAGCCAAACCAGCTAGGGCAAGACTCCATTTCTTAATGGTAGAGTAGCAAGATGCTAAAAGAGCTGTGGGTGGGAAGTATTGTGACCATCTTAGAAGACACATCTGCTGTAGGAGGTGATCCCAGGAAGGACCAGGGAAGGGAGAAGTGGCAGTAGAGGGCACACTGATGAGCAGGTTAACTTGGCGGGCAAACTGGGGCTCACACCTGGGGGCTCTGAGAAGAAACATCATGCATCATGTTTCAGCATTGTCCCCCTGAGGGCCAGAGGATAAGGGGCTGGGCATTTATTCACTGACTCCTGTCCCTCATTGGTTGCCTGATGTTAACTCTGCCATTTCTGGGCTGCCTGTACTCCACCTGAGCAAGTGTCTGGGGAGCCAGAGGATGAATCTGCCTGCTTATAGTGACCTCAGAGGTGGACTAAGGGAATAAGGGCCAGGACATCATACATTCTCTTTTTGTCCAAACCAGCTGGAGTCCCTGTTTGTTGTTTGCAACCAAAGGCCCTAACTACCTATTCTCCCCATCCTTCTCCTGGGCTCCCTGCCCCTCCCCTTCTCTTTAATTTTATTTATTTTTAGAGAGAGAGGAAGGAGAGAGAGAGAGAGAGAGAGAGAGAGAGAGAGAGAGAGAGAGAGGAGAGAGAAACAACAATGTGAGAAAACATTGATCAGTTGCCTCCCGTATGCACCCCGGCTGGGGATTGAACCTGCAACCTAGGTATGTCCCTGACCTGGACTCTAACCCCCAACCTTTTGGTGTACAGGACGATGCTCCAACCAACTGAGCCACCTGGCCAGGGCTTCTCTTTCATTTTTGACAAAGAATCTAGTACCTCAAGCATTTGAGTGTGCAAAAGACTTTTCTGGGGAGACAAAAGAATTTCTGTGCCACAAAAGGAACATTAGAATGTCACATTCTCCTACCCCACATTGCTCAAGTCCATTTCTACAGCTTGGCTTATAGGGTTCTGCCATGTTGCTTGGTGCCATTCTTTCTGTTTTCTTCCCCATTTCCTCTTTGTCCCCTCTACCAACCAATAAGTTCCTGTACTTACTTTAGGCAGAAAGTTTGTCATTTTCTTCTGCAGCTTCAGTGACTGCTGAGCATCTCCTTGGGGTCTTGAAGCAACTTCTCACCTTTTTTAAAAATCAAGTTTTTAATGTGTGAAATCTGAATTCTGTCAATGATATGATACATAGCATCATCAACTTTTTAGGTCAAAGTTGTGGCTAAACTCACTTTTTTTTTTTGTAAGCTATTTTTTTTTATTAAATCTTTATTGTTCAGATTATTACATTAGTTACTCTTTTTTTCCCACCATAACTCCCCTCCACCCAGTTCCAACCCCACCCTCTGCCCTCACTCCCCACCCACTGTCCTCATCCATAGATGCACGATTGTTGTCTAATCTCTTCACTCACCCCCACACCCCTTTCTCACCCCCCCCCAAGAATAGTCAGTCCATTCCCTTTCTATGTCCCTGATTCTATTACAATCACCAGTTCATCAGATTATTTATTCACTTGATTTTTAGATTCACTTGTTGATAGATGTGTATTTGTTGTTCATAATTTGTATCTTTACCTTTTTCTTCTTCTTCCTCTTCTTACAGGATACCTTTCAGCATTTTATATAATACTGGTTTGGTGGTGATGAACTCCTTTAGCTTTTTCTTATCTGTGAAGCTCTTTATCTGGCCTTTACTTCTGAATGATAGCTTTGCTGGATAAAGTAGTCTTGGTTGTAGGTTCTTGGTATTCATCACTTTGAATATTTCTTGCCATTCCCTTCTGGCCTGC